CGGGAGCTGCCGCTGGACAGGCACCTCAATTCGGGCTGCCTAAAACAGAATAAGAAAAGAAAAAAGTGAATCAAAGCACTATATGCAGTATACTATCCTGGATTAAATTCTGCCCCTTTGCTTTTATCCAGCTCCATCCACTCTGCCAACTGGACCAACCATGGCACTGCAGTGTTTGGGGCTCCCTGTGCTGCCGGGATGCACAGGAGAGCATGGCACAGAGCACGGCACGGCACCGGCTGCACTGCTGCTGAGGCTGCAGGCATAGCGCAGCCGTGCCTCTGCTCAGCCTCCCAAAAACCACAGCCCAAATTCTCCCCCTGTAACTCATCCCTCCTCCCACCAGCCCCACACCTCCTCTGCTCACCCCGGACCAGGATTTTCCCAGCATCATGTCACCATCGTCACCAGCTGACTGTCCTCCTGACCCAGGCCAGCGCAATACCTGGGCAGATTTGGGGGTGCAGGGGCAAAGGCTGGATGGCCGAGGGAGCTCCCCTCTCCTGCCCAGGGAAATCGTCCCCACAAGCAGCAGTAAAGGCAGCAGGGCCAAGGCAGCCACCCACCTGCTCCCCTAGCCCCTGCAAGTGCTGAAAGTAAAATTAATGTCAAGGATGCTTTTCAGTCACCTCTTGGGTGGGTGGGGGGGGAAGGAAAAAAGAGAAGTTTCACTGCTCTTGCAGTAGAATAATGCTTACAAAGAGAATTATTTACTGTGATCATCTGGTGCTCTGCCTGAATGCAAATCATTAATTCAGTTGGATACGGGGGACACAGTGACCCTCTGGCAGGCAGCAAATCATAGAATGAACATGGCCCGGTCAGCAGCTTTTGTTGGCTTTTTTATCTCTGCGATGGCGATGCCAAGAAAGTGGTGACACGAGATTCATTAGACTTTAAAACCACAGTGTTCCTCGATTGCCATGGATAAGACATGTTCTGTGTACTGAAAAAAACTGGTTTTGAAGACAGTTCTTGTTTCAGCATGTTGGGATACAGCCACCAAGGCCAGGGGAGCTGCAGGCAGGGAGTGCTGCCAGGGCTCTCACCCCCTCTTAAGTCCTGCCCAGCCACCTCTGGGTGATGGTAAAAATCAAAAGGTCACTTTTTAAGCAGCAACCTGCAATTCTCACCTCCATCAGAAATGACTCAACATGCCTCTGCTATAATTTTCTGTTTCTTTTTTTTCAGCAAAATGTCATTTCTCCCTGATTCACTAAGCAGAAAAGAGCTAAATAATGAATTAATGAATCCAAATAAATCAGAGTTATTTTTCCCTAGGAATACAGAGAAATCAACTCCTGCAATTTCATTGCCAGCCTCACAACATTTGCTGCTCCCTCTGAAGCCCTGCTGCCCTGGAAACACGCGGTTATTTGTGGATCACATTCAGTGCAGCCTCTGACACAGCGGGTCCTGGGCTTTGCCTGCTCGTGTGGGGCAGTGGATAAACACTCTGCCAGCCACAGGTGATTATGGTCACCTGTAAAGACTAAAAAACCCCAAACCAGAAGACAACTCACCCCTGTCCTCAAGGCACCCTGCCACCTCCTGACACGCAGATGACATGCGATTTGACAACCGTATTCCCGCACCAGCAGTGAGCAACACATCACAGCTCATCCCAGCGCGGGCACCCACAGCAGCTGAAGGAGAAACTCTGCGCTGCTGTATGAGTAAACAACGTACATCAGAATTGTTTTTCCCAAGCCATTCTCATGACTGATGATTTTTTAAAAGCATGGAGCTGGCTGAGGAAGGGCTGGATGAGCCCCTTATTAAAGCTAAACATTGTCACACACCTCCCTGAGCACAAGAGTGCAGTGCTCAATAAAGAAAAGTAGATCAAAGCCCCTTTTTTTGCTGGTTTTTGCACCCAGCCCCAAACCCTCATTTTGGGGACAAAGTTTTTCCTACACTGCTGAGAGCAGCTTGTGTCCCTTCCCATGATTACGGCCATCCCCCCAGCCAGCTGCTGTCTCTGCCTCAGTTTCCCCAATGGCTGATGCTCTGGCACAAAGGGGACTGTTCACAATTTCTTCCCCTCATCTCACTGCACTTCTGCACCTCCATAAAGTTGCTCTGCAAGTGCCACCCCAACTCCAGGCTGCAGAAGCAGCTGATATGCATGGAAGTGAAGGGGGCAGGAACAGGGCAGGATGGAGGATTGCTTTTCTGAGGTGTGAGCCCCCAGGGACTCCTTCCTGTGCTGCTGCTACTCCAGGAGCACAGTCCCACCAGAGCCTCTGCAAACTTCAGAAAAGCCATATCATCACACCGTGGAAACAGCTTTTTAGCTTCACTTCTTGGGGCATGCCTGAGGTGGCTGTGTTTTATCACATAGGCAGGAAATAACATACAGCCTTTCCCATCATTTGTCCACTCCAGCAAGCGCTTTTTGGAGTCAACATACTGATGCTTGCAACAAGCGGCCAGCACCACCCCATGTCTGGGGCTTCACCTGCGCGGACCCCGAGCTGCCGTGCCTGTGCCTGGGCTGGCAGAGACGTCCGGCTGCTCCCGAGGAGGGAAGGGCAGCAGGCATGGCTCAGCAGGACTCGCCTCCTGCCTTCCCTCTGGGGGATGAGATATCAGCCTCTTCCCACACCCTGCCTTGGATTAAGTTCCAGGAAAGCAGGTGGCTGTGGCCCTTCCTGGGCTCAGCCCTTCAACAGAATTTGCTGTGCCAAGGTCATTTCCCTGGGGCTTGCCAGGGTACAACTTCTCCCTTCTGGTTGCCGGTGTGTTTACTCCTGCACCGGGAGATAAGGTTATTTCTGGCCTGGTTTATGCAGCAGCAGCTGCTCAGCGATGCAAAACGGGGGCTCGCTTTCCTTGGGGGTCCTCTTTGGGGTCGCTGAGTTTGTCTCAGACCCCAGCCTCACACTATCTGGGTGCCTTCTGCGGGGCATCCCCAGTGACAGAGAAGGCAGGAGAGGAAGGTCACAGTCTGTCTCATGTTTCCTCCCCACATGGGACAAAACTGCTCAAAGGAGGGGG